AATGCAGGAGACCTGGGTTTGATCCCTGGGTTGGGAAGATTCCCTGGAGGAGGTCATGGCAATCCACTCCGGTATTCTTGCCTAAGAATCCCCATGGACAGAAGAACCAGGTGGGCTACAGTCCATGGGATCACAAAGAGTCTGACACAACTGAGTGACCAAGCACAATACATCACCCAAATCCCACTCCTGCCTTCTCAAAACTCCCACCCATTGGCAACCACCAGTCTATTCTCTGTGTCCTTGATTTTGCGAAACAGGGTATATTATTTAAAAAAAATTTTTTTCCCACAAATATTTTGTTTGTTTTAATGAGGTTGGTGCAGACAAGGTCCATTTAAAACCTACACTGCAGGCCAAACACTACAAACAAATTCAAAAAGAGCAGTGTTCTGTTGTATACATGTTCCATGGATAACTTTTTTGTTTTTTGGCCATGCCATGGGGCATGTGGCATCTTAGTTCCCTGATCAGAGATATAACCTGAGCCCCTTCAATAGAAGCACAGAGTCTTAACCACTGGACATCCAGGTAATTCCCTCCTGCATGAGTAACTTTAACTGCCAATGTAAATTAGAACTTTTCTGGGATCTTCTGACAAGATTTTTCCTTCATCTTAAAATGCTTTCCTGTCAGTGAAGCCATCTTTGGAGTTAGTCATTGTTCCCATCACCTCTGTCACCTTGATTTTAATATGATATTCCCCTTTTTTTGGTCCAGACCCTCAGATTTTCGAAGTAGCTTTAAGTTAAGGAAAGGTCATTTCCCCACAGTTCAGTTGTCTGAAAACCTTCCATCTCCCACTGAAAGTCATAGTCCAGGAATGAAGCAATCACATGCTAGAACTTCAGGGCCAATTGGAAAGTCATTTATGAATTCTCACATTAGTTGATCTCATTTATCACAAGCCTACAAATGCACAGACCTGGAGAAGGCAGCCAGTCTCTCTGTGGACATATGTAATTTTAATTTTTTTAAATTTAATTTTTATTTATTTATTTTTTTTATACTTCATTAATTTAATTTTTATTGGAGTATAGTTGCTATAGTTTTTCCAGTAGTCATGTACAGATGTGAAGATTAGACCATAAAGAGGGTTGAGCACTGATGAATTGATGCTTTCCATCTGGGTGGTTGAACGTCCCTTGGACAGCGTGGAGGTCAAACTAGTCCATCCTAAAGGAAATCAATCCTGAATATTCATTAGAAAGACTGATGCTGAAACTGAAGCTCAATACTTTGGCCACCTGATGCAAAGGGCTGACTCATTGAACAAGACCCTGATGCTCAGAAAGATTGAGGGCAGGAGGAGAAGGGGGCAACAGAGGATGAGATGGTTGGATGGCATCACTGACTCAATGGACATGAGTCTGAGCCAACTCTGGGAGATAGTGGAGGACAGGGAAGCCTGACATGCTGCAGTCCGTGGGGTCTCAAAGAGTCGGACACGACTGAACAAAAAATAGTTGCTTTTCAGTGTTCTGCAGTTTTGGCTGCACAGTAGGTGAGTCGGTCACACACATACATATGTTCCATTCTTTTTGGACTTTCTTCCTCTTCAGGTCACCATAGTGCATTAAGTAGGGTTCCTTGTGCTATATACCGTATGTTTGCATTAGTTATCTATTTTATACTCATGTAATTTTTAAAAAGGAGAGGGTGATATGAAGCAGGCTGAGGTCTGATCACCAAAAAACAGCACAAGGTAAATAAACAATAGAGAATCATAGGCATTAGAATTCAAATGGCCAGATGTTTGAGAGATGGGCTGCCAGTTTTCAATTCTGTGTCCAACAGCACATTACAAAAGAACTATTTTTAAAAATAAAAGGGAATTAAGGGACAAGAAAGAAAGCAAAAAGAATATCTGAACAATTGAATGACCCCCTGTTAGTTCCTGATAAACTTCAATCACACCTTCCTCGATTCCCAGTCCTTTTGGAGAGTGATTATCAGCAATTCTCTGACCTTCAAAGAGAAATCTGAGTGAATTTATGGGAATGTCCTGTCTTTGGCAGAATGATTCTTTGAGTTTCTTAAGATGTGTTGTCATTTTCCCTTCGAAGTGAATGCTATGTCACTGCTATCCTGACATGACTGAGTTTTAATATATTGTCTTTCCTTCTGTTGGGAGAGTTTGTAATTTCCTTTGTTCTGTCTCATTGCAACAAAGTTTTGAAGCAGTGGACAGACCAGTGTTACAGCCCCATGTAATTTCCTCCGATGGACCAGTGTTACAGCTCCGTGTTACAGCTCAGTTTTATTTAGAAAATAAAGGAAAAGACATCCTCCAGGTGTGAGGGTGGACCGACCCAAAAGACGCAAAAAGAGAAGCCCATGGCCCAATTTTGGCTCCTCTTTTTACATGCTTTTTTCTCCTTCCCCTGGCCATTGTGGTGATGGGCGTTCCCTCCCCACCCTGGCATCTCTGCACAGCAGCGGCCTCGGTATCGAGAACCTCGCTCCGAGGTTTCTCACTTCCCCAAAGCACAATGCTATGGCTCCAGGGTATATTCTTGATCCCAAATCCCCACAGCTATTCCCTCAAGAAAGGTAACATTATCTTTTTCTGCAAAGAGGATGCTGAAACTCTGAGAGTTTAGATAACTGGGTCAAGGGCACTGTTAACTACTAATTGGCACTTGCCAAGGGCATTTCCCATTTACCTCTACAAGGATTAAATTATGAGCTGCTGCAGTTGCTGACCTTCAACACCCCATGAAAGGAGCTCAGAGTGGAGATCAGAAACGAGGTACTCTGTGCTCTGGAAAATCTGGCAGAACAGGTCTTCAGATTGTTAGATATTTTCAGGAGCTGATTTTACGAGCCCAATTCTTGCATCTCCTCACATCCAGAAAAGCAATAAAGTTCTTCATGGTGACCCCTGCTCCTCCTGACTAGCAGAAACCTTCTGCAAAAATATGTGTTTGATTGCGTGAACTCCCTCTTCACCGAAGTCACATATATACTGACCTTCCTCCTACCTCTTTGGAGCAGTTTCTCAGAGCTATCTGAAATGTGCTCTCCTGGGCTATGGTCCTCATTTGGGCCCAAATAAAACTTAAATTGAAACTCTCACGTTGTACATTTTTTAAAGTCGGCAACACAGGGCAGAAAAGAGGCAGAAGCTACAGGTGATTCTGTGCTGTAAAAACCAGGCCATGCTCTTCTCCCCATCTCTGCTTGGAGCCCTTTGGGCATGACACGCCATGCCCAGAGCGCAGAGTGAGCATGACCCTCTGAGCTCTCCACCCGCACTCCACTTCAATCCCTGTCCTCTGCCTTTCCTCCATCCAAAGATGTTAACCAGCCCTTGGAATACTGTCTGCCAGCTACCGAGTGGAAAAATACCATCAGAGAAGCAGGGAAGCAGGAAAGAAAAGTGAAGAGGAGGCACACACCTTATTTATCACTCTTGACTTCATTACAAAAGATCTGCAAAGCTCACACACAAAAAATCAACCTGCAAATCATGTTATGGTTAATAAAACAGTAATTTAACACCCCCCCCAACCTTCCCTGGCAGTGTCCTGAGGTACTCACAATGCCCTTTCTATGTTTTATTTTAAGGCCCAGTACAAAAGGTCTTCACCTTAGTGTAATTAACTTTTTATCATTAAGATTCTGAAAAATTGAATTGTGTTGGACACAGGTCACCGTAATGAGAATTTAATGGCGACGTATTACAATGCGCACTAAGCTATGAATCCGTGCTAGAGGCGTCACATTGCTACTGACCTATGCAAATTTCCATCTCAGTGGCCCTTATTCTTCCACTGTGGCATCCGGCCCCCTCTCTGCTTCCCTCTCATCTCCTTAAACAATGATTCCCTCATTTTCATATTAATTGCATCACTTAACTGAGATAATGCTCCCTCTGAAATGAGCAAAGGGATGAATCACCGAAACGGGCCATTATTCTTTTTGCTTAACCAATTTCACAGGCCCCGCACAAAGCACTGCCTTCATTTGGCTTCCTATAATTGCTTATCATTAGGCCCAGCCGCCCCACGAAGTACCTTTTTATTTATTTAAGTCTCATCTCTGATGGATGGAAAATGAGTCACTTGCATATCTGAGAGGCCCAGACAGTTTGAGGCAAGGGAGGTGGTGGGATACCCTGGAGGACACAAATGGAGGAGAGGCAGCCTGGGTGAACAGCCCTGCCCCTTCCCCTTCCCCACAAGATTCAGGGGCAGCCACAGTATCAGGTGACCCGTGGCTTCCAGCCGCAGCCCTTCTGGCTCCTGCTCCTGGAGAATCAGATGATCAAGAGGAGGGAGGGCTTGACCACGTGATGATGGCAGCTTGGTACCCACGAGGGAGGTGGATGAGGCTGTCCAGGTGCCTACTTCACCAGGGAGGTGAATAAGGCAGGTGAGAGGCTGTCCCCTGGCCTTGACGTTCATAGTCTGGGCCCACCAGCATGAGATGGATAAAGGAACGTCATGAAAAATTGCTGTTTATTCCTTCATTCTCTCTCTCTCCCTCTTTCATTCCTTTAACGAAATCCAGAATTGTGAGAGAGAGAGGGAGAGAAGGAAAGGACATTTTCTGAGGGAAATGAGTCTGTTATCAGCCACAGACATACTCAGAAAGGCATCAGGAGAGACCGGCTCCCTCGCCACAAAAAGGAAAATCTTCTATTAGCCTGTCAGGGATCTGGGCAAAAGTGTTCCCTGGAGGTTTACCTAGAGCACAGCGTGTGCTCTGTTACAGAGGATAAGAGGGCCTGTCTCAGAACTAGCTGTCAGTGGCTTTGGCATCCGTTCCGACGTAATGCTGCTTCTCAGATATCGCTGCTATGACTCCTGCCGCCTGTCTGTTTGGTAGCTGCTGTAATTTCACCTGTAACGCTCATCCACCTTGTGCCCAGCACTCGCCAGGGCTTCTCAGCTTGGCTCCCACACCCTCACGGGAACCCATCAGTAGCTTGACAGGGGACAAATAGGAGTCTCCTGACTCCTGGCTTTTGTTTCTTTGGCTGTGATATTCCTGCGATGGCTGAGAGGGATGGAAATCCAGCCCACACCATTGTCATCCTCGACACGTAAGGGAGATGACCTTGTCAGTATGCTTGGGACATTTGGTTTAGGGCTGGGGGATGCAGAGGGCAGTGGTTCTCAAATGTGGTCCTCCCACTATCAGCCTCACCCTCTGGGAACTTGTTAGAAATATTAATTCTCAGGCTCCACCCAGACCGCTGAGTTGGAAAATCAGAGGGTGGACTCGGTTAATAACTGATTACATTATTATTGTCAGGAATTTAAATAAGAGGAGTGCAAAGAGTGATACACAGGCTTCCCAGGTGGCAAAAGTGGTAAAGAATTTGCCTGTTGATGCAGGAGACATAAAAGATGCTAGTTTCATCCCTGGGTCGGGAAAATGCCCTGGAGGAGGGCACGGCAACCCACTCCAGTATTCTTGCCTGGAGAATCCCATGGACAGAGGAGCCTGGTGGGCTACCTGGTGGCTCATAGGGTCTCAAAGAGTCAGATATGACTGAAGTGACTTACCACGCATGCGCGAAAGAGTGATAAACATCTCAACTCAATAATTCAAAATGATGAGATCACCAGACATCTGATGAGCTTTTCCTACATGTTCTGCTTTGAATTGCGGGGTCCTCTCACAGATATGGGACAGGGTGATGGGCAAAATTTGTAAAAGCTCAGAGGACTGGCATTGGGAGAGGAACATTTTCTGGGGTGACTGGGGTGGCAAAGCTGGAGGGGAGACTCAACTGCATTCAGGAAGAGATTGGAGTTAGGAACATAGAACTCAGTAGGGTGAGACCATATCCAGAACGATAGCAGAATCAGGCAGGAGGGGATGTAGTTTGCACAGGAGAATCCTGTAAGTCATTCGCAGCCAGATCAGAGGGTCATGGGTGGTAAGGGAGCTTCGGTTATCTGTGGGGCATGGAGATGGTTTGATGGTTTAAAGAGCTCAGGAGGACTCTGCTAGAGGCCACAGAAGATTCCATCTTATATTGTATTTTTTAAATGATATTGAGAACTACTGTAAGGGAACTCTCTTCCTGTCTCCTGCAATCACAGGGCAGTAGGAACTCAGGGACATTTGCTTGCCCTTTCCCAGGAAAGAAAGTGTGATCACTGGATGGGAGGTGCCTGCTGTCGGTCAAGCCTGGGGAGTCCACTCCATGGAAAGCTCTCTGTCTGGTGGGAAATGAGGTTGAAGTCCAAGCAGGAGCAGATTCTAGAGTCTGGAAAGCCAGGCTAAAGGGCAACTAGAGTCGTTATGAATTCTTGAGTTTGGGAACAAAAGGATAAACCAGTGCCCCCATGGCTGGCTCAGCAGGTTAAGAATCTGCCTGCGAGGCAGGAGCCGCAGGAGATGATGGTTCCATCTCTGGGTTGGGAAGACTCCCTGGAGCAGGAAATGGCAACCCTATCCAGTATTCTTGCTGGAGAATTCCATGAACACAGGAGCCTGGTGGGCTACAGTCCAAAGGGTTGCAAACAGCAGGACAGAACTGAGTACACTCAGCATACAAAGCATAATTGAAAGTGATATTTGGATGAATCAAGTAGGAGAGGCTAGAAATCCTTATTATACCATTGGCAACACAAATTACCATTAATTTTTTCTTTTTTAAGTTGTGTTCCTTTCTCCACAAGGCTAAAAGAGAAGGGCCTCCCTGGAGATTCTAAATCACACCCTATTGCTTGGTTCTCTGGGTTTGTTTCATGGGTTGTAAAGGAGAACCACCTAGTCCATAAATTGCTTCTCTCATAGGGTGTGACTAGTTTGTTTCTTGCATCAGATCATCCAAGCTTGGATAAGTGGTGTTAGGAACCACTGAATTTTCTTGATTTAGAATTGTCATGATAACAGTTACAGTTTAAGAGAAATTGTAGAGTGGCAATGCAGGTATTTCTATTATTGTGAGCATATTATTAAAATGAACATGTTGGCGTATGTCATAAAAATTAACCTGGTAGAGAGCTGAGCTTAGAATAATAATACTGAAAGAAAAATACTTTCCAGTTGCACAGTACATTATGACTTGGTAATGGTTTATGTGGGCAAAATTGCTGCAAGAAAGAAGCTAAAAATGTAGCAGCTCAAGGACTTCCCTGGTGGTCCACTGGTTAAGACTCCATGCTGCCAATGCGGGGGGCATAGGTTCGATCCTTGGTCAGGGAACTTAAGATCCTGCATGATGTGAGGCATGGCTAATAAATAAGTAAGTAAATACAAATGTAGCAACTTCAACACAATGAAAGCTTGATTACATCTCACCTAAGAATTGAACAGGGATATCCCAGGTCAGCAGAGGTGGTTGGTGGTAGAGAGACAATTCCTGCTCCATGCAGGCTTTCAGGGACTCAGGTTGGCAGAGGTTCTGTCATCTTCAGCATAAGGCTTCCAGTGCTATCTCAATGACCTTCTTGGTCTCTGACCACATAAAGGAGAAGAACACAAAAGAGTCTGGAAGTTTCTTTGGCCTAGATCACTTACACTCACATCATATTCACTCAGACCCAGTCACATGACTAAATTGCAAGAGAGCCTGGTAAATGCAGTTAAGTCCTGCATGAGGAAAGAAAAAACTAAATTTCAGTGGACAGCTGGAATTCTTTTTTTTTAAATTCTTTTATAGGAAATCTTACACATAATCTAATCTCTACTGAAAAAATCAGTGAATCACTGGTTAAGTGAATTTCTTGGGAAATTTTTAGCTACCAATGCACTAATCTGGGAATTATTCAAAATCATTTTATTACCTCTCTATTTATAAAAGCTAATGATTCTGCTTGCATGTGTGCTAAATTGATTCAGTTGTGTCTGACTCTTTGCAACCCTATGGACTGCAGCCCTCCAGGCTCTTCTGTCCATGAAGATTCTCCAGACAAGAACATTGGAGTGGGTTGCCATGCCCTCTTCCAGGGGATCTTCCTGACCCAGGGATTGAACTTGTGTCTCCTGTGGCTCCTGCATTGCAGGAGGATTCTTTACCCCGAGCCACTGGGGGAGCCCTTATTATTCACAGAACTAAGTATTTAGAGAACATCCACCATGCGACTAGTTCACCATGTCTATATACTTGGAATCCAGTGGTGGTCATAGTTCTACTGGCTTTCCAACTGAAGACTGATTTCTTTTTTTTTTGAAGACTGATTTCTTTACATGTTCAATGGACAATGATATTCCCTTTATGTTTGATCTCTGAACACTATTTGAAACCTGAGCCACATATCTTATTTCCAAGATGGGCTACATTTTCTAGATAACATAAATATCACATTTGAATAGTGCTACATGTTCATCATGCTGTAATCTTCTCAAGAGGAGAGAAAGTAAAAATTCTAGGTGTTTTATAAAATCATTTTAGCATCTAGCATAGAGTTTTAGCATCACACAGGAAAAGGTTTTAGTTTCAGTTCTGCAATTCATTTACCCTCTTAAACCATGGTTTCCTCCTAAAAGAAAAAGAAAATATCTATGCTGTTCATGGGCTTCCTTGTGGCTCTGACAGTAAGGAATCTGTCTGCAATGCAGGAGACCTGGGTTTGATACCTGGGTAAAGAAGATCCCTGGGAGAAGGGAAAGAGTATCCACTCCAATATTCTTGCCTGGAGAATTCCATGGAGAGAGGAGCATGGCGGGCTACAGTCCACTGGGTCACAATGAGTTGGACATGACTGACCAACTAACACTTTCATTTTTGGCTTCCCAGGTGGCACAGTGGTAAAGAATTTGCTTGCCAATGCATGAGATGCTGAAGCTCCAATACTCTGGTCACCTGATGTGAGGAGTTGGCTTATTGGAAAAGACCCTGATGCTGGGAGAAATTGAAGACAAAAGGAAAAGAGGGCAGCAGAGGATGAGATGGTTAGATAACATCACCGACTCAATGAACATAAATGTGAGCAAACTTCGGGAGGCAGTAGTGGACAGGGGAGCCTGGGGTGCTGCAGTCCGTGGGGTTTTGCAAAGAGTTGGACATGACAACAGCAACAGCTCTGTTCATCTTGCAGGATGCTTAGTATAAATAAGTGATAATGAAAGTGAAAGGAATATGATATTACAGAATTTGGTGGAGACACTGAATCATTATCACAGTCTTCCACAGGTACTCTGAATATTGTCAGATTACTGAACAAATAGTTGCTATCATAAAACATTCACAGTCTGGTAGGTGAGGGAGAGCTTGTTATTACCACTATTTCGTGGAAGAGAGAACTGAGATTCAGAGAGGTTAGGGACTACTTCTCTGCCTGACGTTAGGAAGAATGAAATAGGCATTCCATGTAAGGAAAACGCATTGGCTCTGGACGACAAAGACTTGCATTTGAGGGCCACCTTTCATAAGTATTGGAGAAGGAAATGGCAGCCCACTCCAGTATTCATGCCTGGAGAATCCCATGGACCGATGAGCCTGGTCGGCTATAGTCCATGGGGTCTCAAAGAGTCGGACACGACTGAGCGACTTCACTTCACTTCTCATAAGTATTAGCTGGGTAAGTTTGGAAAGATGACTTTTCCTCTTTCTGTCTTAATTAGAGAGACTAATATCTTTTCCTCCTTATGATTTCACAAGGTTCTTATGAAGATCATAGAACCAATATGTCAAAAATCTCTCAAGGATTTTTAATGACTTTGGTAAGAGTAATTCTTGGCTCTGTCTCTCAAGTCACTCTGTAGCAAGAGAAGTCACATAAGTTGAACTTCGTGCTGTTGCAGGTTGCTTATTTTTAACTGGGAGGAGACTGAGAGCAGGAGACTCAAGTTTTCAAAGATGGATCATTTTACTGTGGAATGTTAAAACTGGAGGCCTTTGGAGTGCAATCTCATACAAGCTGTCATCAAGCATAGAACCCCACTGGGTGGTGTCTTTGAAAGATTCTTTCAACTTCAGTTGTGATCATTGTAGCAATGAAAACTAACTTATAATAAGGGGTATCTGGTTTAACCAATATTTGTTGAGGCAGTCACTATACTAGTGTGCTTACATAGAACTTAACACTGGATTGTCCAATCTGACTTACATGACTCAAAGATCTTACCCACTGCCAAGATTTACTAGTAATTTCAGTGATAAAAGCAATTAAGTGACACAGGCTGAGCAGGGAGTGGTCTGGGACATTACGAATGACTCCCCAGGTCTTTCCTTCCTGCATCCAGGTGGCCAGTCGTGATAGGTAAAGTCTTTCAGTGAGGTTTGCAGGTTACTATTCACAGAGGGCTTCCGTGGTGCCTCAGACAGTAAAGCATCTGCCTATAATGTGGGAGACCCGGATTTGATCCCTGGGTTGGGAAGATCCCTTGGAGAAGGAAATGGCAACCCACTCTAGTATTCTTGTCTGGAGAATCCCATGGACGGAGGAGCCTTGTAGACTATAGTACATGGGGTTGCAAAGAGTTGGACACGACTGAGCGACTTCACTTCATTTTATTCACAGAGGAGAGTGTTTGGGTTAAGAAACATTTCTTACTCCAGACAGTTATACAACTAAGGTTAGGTGCCCTGGGAAATCATTGAAAGTGAAAGTGTTAGTCATTCAGTCATGTACGATTCTTTATGACCCCATGGTCACATGTGACCCTGCCAGACTCCTCTATCTGTGGAATTCTCCAGGCAAGAACACTAGAGTGGGTTGCCATTTCCTTCCCTGGCGATCTTCCCAATCCAGGGATTGAATCCAGGTCACCTGCTTTGCAGGGAAATTCTTTACTGACTGAGCCACCAAAATCATTAAATCCATAGATTCTAGGTTTGTTTGCCACACACGATTTTAAACCAGAAACATCCTGAGAAGAACTTCTCAAAAATAAGTACCCTCTTCTGGGAAATACAATTTTATTTGTCGGGAAGTTCAGTTATCAGCATGTTCGTAAGAGGTTAGATTGGGCTACCTTCCTTTTTTTTTCTTTCCCTAGAATGTTCTCTGATAACTGAGAGAGAAATGAATCACATACCAGTTACTTTCATTGCTTCCTCTCCAGCTAAGTAGTGACATATAATGATGAACATGACATGCAGGGTCTCTGACTTTGACCAATTCACTTAGGAAAGAACAGGGAGTAGTCAGACGGATTCAATAGGAATAGTCAGTCTACTGGGTTCTGATCAAGAACATTTATAACTATGGTTGAAAGTTATACCTGTGTGGGACTTCTCTGGCGGTCCAGTGGCTAAGACTCTGAGCTCCCAATCCAGGGGGCCCGGGTTCAATCTCTGGTTGGGGAACTATATCCCAGATACTATGACTAAGAGGTCGCATGCTGTAACTAAAGATACCACCTGCTGCAATTTAAAAAGGTCCCACATGCTGCAACTAAAATGATCCTGCAGATCCCGTATGCCACAGCTGAGTCCTGGTGCAGCCACATAAGTAGACTTTTTTTTTAAAGTTATGCCTGTTAAAAGGAAGCCCAATTTCAAATGACAGTTGCAGTTTGGAATGTGTATCCTTGTGAGTTTTAGTTTGGGGTTCATATCGGAAGCTACCATCATTTTATCCCAGCCCTGACTAGGCAGACATGCCACTCACATGGCATGCCTTCTCCAGTCGGCAGTTGGTCTTTCCTGTACCTTAGCTTCAGTTACTCTGAAAGATGACTGTCTTGAGACTGCCGCCAAGGCCCACCTGAATGAATTTTGTGTTTGCAGAGTAGTCTGTACTTTTATAGACCATTTTGTAAAGATCTCAAATTGGATAAAAATTCGTTTAGCAATTTTAAGCAGTGCAGGAACAGATACACTCAGAGAAATGCATTTTATTTATGTACGTGCAGAAGGCAAACAATGAAGCTATGCATAGAAAGTTGTAGGAGCAGATACCCTGGGCATGCATAGGCTGAGACTTAGAATTGTGATTTAAAAGTCTGAGACTTTCAAATCTCAGTCGGAATCTGGAGCATCATAAGAAGATTATGTTGTTGTTGTTAAGTCCCTCAGTCATGTCCAACTTTTTTGTCACCCCATGGAGTGTTGCCTACCAGGCTCCTCTGTCCCTGGGAGTCTCCTGGCAAGAATATTGGAGTAGGTTGCCATTTCCTCCTCCAGGGGATCTTCCAGATCCAAGAATCAAACTTGCATCTCTTATGTCTCCTGCACTGGCAGGAGGATTCTTTGCCACTAGTGCCACTTGGGAAGGTCTAAGCAGATTATAGTCAAATCAAGAAGAACCGGGACCTGAGAGTATAAACAACTTTACACATGTCAGAACTACAAACAATCTGGCCTTTGCTAAACGTTAAGGGCAAGACAGGAGTGGTAAATGTCAGAGCTGGTGTGGCACGCAAGAACCAGACAAGTCATGAGACTTCTGTAGCTGCTATAAAAGGACTTGGACTTTATCCTATTGACATGAAATAGGGTTGAGATACAGCCATTCCAATGCCAGTCAGCTATGATGGGTGGAAGGCTCTTTTGTCTTTGGGATGACAGAGGATGAGATGGTTGGATTGCATCACCAATTCAATGGACGTGAGTTTGAGCAAGCTCTGGGAGTTGGTGATGGACAGGAAAGCCTGGTGTGTTGCAATTCATGTGGTCACAAAGAGTTGGACACATCTTAGTGACTGAACTGAACTGATAGTTAATTTGCAATGTTAGTTGCAAATTAACTGATAGTTAATTTTCTGTGTTAGTTTCAAGTGTACTGTAAAGTGATTGAGTTATATATGTATGTATATATATAGTTGTTCAGTCACTAAGCCATGTCCTACTCTTTACGATCCCATGGATTGCAGCAGGTCAGGCTTCTCTGTTCTCCACTATCTCTGGAGTGTGCTCAAATTAATTTCCACTGAATCAATGATGCCATCCAACCATCTCATTCTCTGTCACCCCCTTCTCCTCCTGCCTTCAGTCTTTCCCAGCAACAGGCTATTTTCCAGTGAGCTGGCTCTTCACATCAGGGGCCAAAGTATTAGAGCTTTAGTTTTAGCATCAGTCCTTCCAGTGAATATTCAGAGTTGATTTCCTTTAGGATTGACTGGTTTGATTTCCTTGCAGTCCAAGGGACCATTAAGAGTCTTCTCTAGCACAATTTAAAAGCATCAGTTCTCTGGAGCTTTTTCAGATTCTTTTCCCTTAAAGGTTATTACAAGATATTGAGTATAGTTCTCTGTGCTATACAGTAGGTCTTTGTTGTTTACCTATTATATGTATGTGTATATAATAGTGTGAATATGTGTTTTTTCTCTCTTTTTAAAGGTTAAATCTGCCCTTCTGTGCTGTCAAATTGATTTTACTCCTGTTCTTAGAACTAATGAGGAAATATCAACTAAGAGCAATGATGTACCGGTAAGTGTTTAACAATTGATTTTCCAAAATTTTCCTTGGCTGATTTCAAAATTCCAAGGTGAGGTCATTAAAGGAAGTTAGGAAGATATGCACATGGCCAGCTCTGGAAGTATAAACTGGTCCTTTCGGTCACTCTAGGGACTCAAAAGACAAAGGATCCACCCTCCTAAGAGGATGGTTGAGATCATAGTTACTTTTTTCCCTCTTACTGCATTTAAAAGAACAGTTTAGATAAATTATACTTTCCAGGACAAGGCATTCTTGACTTTATAACTAGTGCTCGATCTTTTAAGCCAGTGGTACCAAAACATGGGGCTTCCCAGGAGGTGCCAGTGGAAAAGAATTATTCTTGTTTGGGGAATCCCGTGACAGAGGAGCTTGGTGGACTACAGTCCCCGGGGTTGCAAAAGAGCCCCACACGCCTGAGGGACGAAACCACGAAAACCAAACTGTGAGCAGTGCTGCCCCCTAGAGGGCATCTGCAAATTTGTCGTTCAGTTGGTCCTGTCTGGCTCTTTGTGACCCCACGGACTGCAGCACTCTTGGCTTCCCTGTCCTTCACCATCTCCCTGAGTTTGTTCAAACTCCTATCCATTGAGTCGGTGATGCCATCCAGTCATTTCATCCTCTGTATCCCCCTTCTCCTGCCTTCAGTCTTTCCCAGCATCAGGGTCTTTTTCAATGGGTGAAAAACTGGGATGTTGTAAGTGCTTAATGGGCAAGGGTCAGGAATGCTGAATATCCTGCCCTGGGAGAGACAGTCTTGCACAATAAAGAGGTGCTCTGCCCTCAGACTCTATGGCACAGTCCTTGGAAAAAGCCGCTTTACGCTGTTCCTCCCAAGTTGGCTTTCTGCCAGATGGTAGTGCTTTATTAATATATTCTGCTAAACTTTTGTGAGCAATCATACCCTGCTGCTTATAAGACAAGGAAGCCCTATGCTTAGTGACAGATGCTTATTTTATTCCAAAATGATTGAAATAAAATGTACTGGAATGAAACTTTTTTTTCCCTATTAACCTTTAGCAGCATTTATAATGACCATGTTAAATCAAACTTCATTACAATGTAATGGGGCCTGACTGAAATACTGCAGGTATGATGCTGAGTAATTTCATAAATTATTAAATGGTAATTGAAGGTAATATGGCAGAATACATTCTACTCCTGAGGGGGAAGATACAGAAGACTTTGGAGGGACATAAAGTTGGTGAAAATATAGCATATAGAAAAGGGTTGGAAGAAAGGTGGAGAGAGGCCGCAGAAGACCTGAGTAAGTCCTTTAATTTTTGGCATTGGACTAAAATAAGCAATTTTGACACTGACTTGAAACATTGCAGACATTCAGAGTCTTTTCTTACTTCCGGTGTTCAGGCATTCTTCAAGGCAAAAGAATCAAAGTCAAATTATTTTTTAATACTAAATGTCTCTTGATGTCATGCCTTTATTTCAATTACAGTTCACTTCCAGCCCTCACTTACCTAATAGATTTTCAGAAGCTTGAAAAAAAAATCCCAATGAGTAAACTAATTGTGCTTGTTGTGAAAAAAAAAAAAAAACTAAAATTCTAAAAACATGTCGATTTTGAAAGTCTCATTGTCACACATAGCCTTCACTGTAAATAGGACATTCTTTCAGATTTGCACACTTTATTCTTTGTAAGTTTACTTTTTCAACATAGGTTACCTTATAGGGACCGTCCTAAAACTGACTCTTTTCATTTACTATTATCGCTTGGGCATCTTTCTATGTCTATACAAGCAGATTTAAACTTAAACATTTGCTAATTTAATTTAACCTTATAATATGTTAAATTTGAAGTGAAGTTGATTTTCAGTATTTTATTATTTTCTTAGTTTCAGGTGTGCCGCTATTCTGGTTGAATATTCCTGCAGACTACACGCCACGTAAATTTGCTATAAATGATGGATGTGGTTCCCTCTGCTGCACGATGTATCTTTGTGGCTGCTTTGTCCTATGCTCAGTACTGTGCACCTTTTAATGGTATGCCTGTTTTGCCCTCCCTCCGTTCTGTCTCCCCACTGGTAACCACCAGTTTGTTCTCTCTGTAAGTTGGTTTCTGTTTTGTTGTATCCATTCATTTGCTTTACTTTTTAGATTCCACATATAAGGGATAACACACATCATTTTGTCTTTCTCTGATGTATTTCACTAAGCATAATGCCCTCTAGGTCTATCTATGTTGTTGCAAATAGCAGAATTTAATTCTATTTTATGGCTAAGTGATATTCCATTGTAGATTATGCTCAAAATCCTTCAAACTAGGCTTCAGCAATACGTAAACTGAGAACTTCCAGATGTACAAACTGGATTTAGAAAAGGCAGAGGGACCAGAAATCAAATTGCCAACATTCGTTGGATCATGGAGAAAGTAAGAAAATTCCAGAAAAAACATCTACTTGTGCTATGCTAAAACATTTGACTGTGTGAATCACAACAAACTGTGGAAAATTCTGAAAGAGATAGGCGTACCAGACTACCTTACTTGTTTCCTGACAAATATGTATGCAGGTCAAGAAGCAACAATTAGAACTGTACATAGAACAACAGGCTGGTTTCAAATTGGGAAAGGAGTATGACAAGGCCATATACTGTTGCCCTACTTATTTAACTTATATGCAGAATGAGTTCAGTTCAGTTCCGTCGCTCAGTTGTCTGACTCTTTGTGACCCCATGCAGCACACCAGGCCTCCCTGTCCATCATCAACTCCAGGAGTTTACTCAAACTCATGTCCATTGAGTCGGTGATGCCATCCAACCATGTCATCCTCTGTTGTCCCCTTCTCCTCCCCTCCTTCAATCTTTCCCAGCATGAGGGTCTTTTCAAATAAGTCAGTTCATCACATTAGGTGGCCAAAATATTGGAGTTTCAGCTTCAGTATCAGTCCTTCCGATGAATATTCAGGACTGATTTCTTTTAGGATGGACTGTTGGATCTCCTTACAGAATACATCTTATGAAATGCTGGTCTGGATGGATCACAAACTGGAATCAAGATTGCCAAGAAAATATTAACAACCTCAGTTATGTGGATGAAACCACTCTAATGGCAGAAAATGAAGAGGAGTTGAAGAGCCTCTTGGTGAACATGAAAGAGGAGAATGAAAAAACTGGCTTGAAACTCAACATTCAAAAACTAAGATCATGGCATTCAGTTCCATCGTTACATGGCAAATAGAAGGGGAAAAACTGGAAGCAGTGACAGATTTTATTTTCTTCGGTTCCAACATCACCACGGATGGTGACCGCAGCCATGAAATTAAGATGCTTCCTCCTTGGAAGGAAAGCTATGACGAACCTAGACAGCATGTTAAAAAGCAGAGACATCTCTTTGCTGACAATGGTCTGTATAGTCAAAGCTAAGGCTTTTCCGGTAGTTATGTTTGGATGTGACAGTTGGACCATAAAGAAGGCTGCACACCAAATAATTGATGCTTTCAAATTATTCTGGAGTAGACTCTTGAGAGTTTCTTGGACTGCAAGGAGATCAAACCAATGAATCCTAAAGGAAATCAACCCTGAATATTCATTGGAAGGACTGATGCTGAAGCTGAAGCTCCAATACCTTGGCCACCTGATGCAAAGAGCGAACTCATTGGAAAAGACCCTGATGCTGGGAAAGAGTGTAGGCAAAAGGAGAAGAGGGTGACACAGGATGAGATGGTTAGATAGCATGACTACTCAGTGAGCATGAATTTAACAAACTCCAGGAGACAGTGAAGGACAGAGAAAGCTGATATGTTGCAAGCCATGGGGTCTCAAAGAGTTGAACTCAACTTAGCAACTGAACAACAATGTTCCATTGTATATATGTTCCACATCTTTATCCATTCATCTGTTGGTGGGCACTTAGGTTGCTTCCATATCTTAGCTAATGTAAATAGTACTGCTATGAACATTTTCTTGTTTTGTCGCTGACTTGTGTCTGACACTTTTGAGATCCCATAGACTGTAGCCTGTCAGGCTCCTCTATCCATGGAATTTCCCAGACTAGAATACTGGAGTGAGTTGCTGTTTCCTTCTCTAGGGGATCTCCTGGCCCATGGATTGAACCCTAGTCTCCTGCGTGGCAGGCAGATTCTTTACCACTGAGCCACCAGGGAAACCTACTATGAATGTTGGGAGTTAATGTATCTTTTCAAATTAGTGTTTCATTTTCCTTGGATATATACCCCTGGGTGGCTTTCCTGGATCATATGATAGATCTAGTTTTTAGTTTTTTGAGGAGTTTCCATACTGTTCCCTACAGTGGTTAGACCAATTTACATTTTCTCTACCTCCCCCCAATGTTTATTTATAGACTTTTTCATAACAGCCATTTGACAGGTGTGGGGTTGATATCTTGTTGTTTTGTAAACTTTTTAAAAATTAAGTTATACTGTAAAGTGCACAGAATTTTATGATTTGTCCTAAGTGAATGTTATCCATACAGTCACCACCTAAATTAAGACATAAAATAAAATCACTGTCCTTTGTCCTTCAGTTCTCTCTCCTATCTCTCTCAATCATTTTACTCATCCTTATTGAATGTAATCAGGCTTCTGAATTCTATCACCATATAGTAATTTTCCTTTTTCTCTCGATTAAAATAAACTCGATCATTTAGCATTAACTTTTTTGAGTCTGGATCTCGTAGCCTGTTTGGTTATGAAATACTACCACTATTGCATGAAGTATTAGTTCATTTTTATTGCTGCAAGGTATTTTATTGTATGACTGTGATATAATTTTATTTGTTCTGCTTTGATGAACTTTTAGATTGTTTGTTGTTTGGGGGCTACTGTGAATAATACGTTTATACTTGTCTTTATACCTACACATGTCTTTTGATGAATATATATGTGTGTATATATATATATATATATTCCCCCACTCTCCTTACTGGCACATACCTAGAAGTGAAATTGCTGTGACATAAGTTGTGTGCATATTCAGCATTAGTTGTTACTGCCAACAGTTTTTCCAAAGTGACTCTAAGA